TTCAGAACTATTGAAAAATGAAGAAACTTATTTCGATCTTGATCACACTTTTGATCTACTCTTTATTACTCTGTGAATCGAAACAAACTCAAGATGCGGAATCAAACGTGTTCATGAACATTGATGATAACATGTTACCTCTCATTATTTCATCACACATGTCCGATAATACCGATAGCAAGTACACGATTTCTACTAAACATAAACATCCAAAACGTCCAAAACATTCGAAACGAGCTTATGTACACTTTACAAATCCACCAGAATTGACGACAGGTGTAATGATATTTTGGGAAACTAGAGAGAAAACAACATTAATCTTTGGTCAATTTGAAAATGGTTTTGATGAAGGGCAAGAAAAAGATTATTCGTTTAAAGTGTATAAAGGTAGTAATGAAATCGTGGACTTAAAGCCTGATAATGAAAGTTTAGATCAACTTTTCAAAATCAGACCAAATGGTTCCACGGATCCTTTCTTATTCAGCGTAAACACAACTTTAATTTCTGGTGATAATGATATCGTCAACGGGGAAATTGTTATAAGTAAACCCGATGCTTTAATTGGAAAAAATCGAGTTTTTACTTTGCATTGTTAGGGATACGCAGCAACTCCTTTCCTTTTCTTTTGTATTTTTTTTATATTTGTATATCGTATTAAATAAAATTTAACCTTTGGTTTTATTTTCTGTTATTTTATTTATCGCGGCGACTCAAAAAATTTATACTGCGCCAATAATTTTCGAACTTTTTTTTCTTTTTACAAAAATATACAACCTCTCTCAAAATATGCGCGCCATTCATACATTCTTCGTGTCTTTATGCAATTGTTTTGCGTACGCAGAATAGGTATCATCACCTATGCTAAATAATTCCATACCACTCGAAACAATCAGAGAATTAACCAAAGGTTCCAAGAATTTAAATAAGAGTGTTCCATCCCTTGGATTATATAATTCAAGTAAGGGATGTAAAATCTCATTGAAATCACTTAAAATTAAGACGCACGGAAACTTTGATAAGAATGATGATAGGATTGTATCGTTTCTGCTTAAATCTGTGGCTAAATAAATGACGTGTGATGAATCCACACTACATAAATCGTTTGATGTCCCTTGAGGAATCTCGTTGAGGTAATTCTTTAAGGTCAACGTTAACCTTGTAAAAGATTTTTGTATAAATTTTTTGGAATATGATGTAGAATGAAATCTCGCGTGTACACCAACATAATTTCTTTTCCCTCCTAACCTTTGAACGATCTTTTTGGAGGCATCTAGTACAACAGGATTATTTAGTGTGAGAGATTCATCTATCTTATCCCAAAATATTTGATCTTGAGCTGAACCTTTATCGATTAACCCTTTGCCTGATAAGCAATCGAAGGATATCAGTTTCTCTTTACACGAACGAATAGAATCCAATGATATTTTCGTTAATTCACAGACATTTTGTTTTGAGTTCGTAACGTTTAACATTTTTTCAAGTTTAATCTGATCAAAATCTCTCCTGTGTGATATGTGAATTTTCTGTTTAATCAAATTCAAGTTGAATAAGGAATCCCAACGTAATAAAGAGTAAGAATCAAATCCATTCAAACAATTCAGATCGATTTCATATTTCGTTTCTTTTTGTTCAGGAATATTGATTTTATTAAAGCATTCTGATTCGTGTTTATCCGCGCGAAGTGTATCTAACTTTTGACGTAATGCTTGGGAATTAGTGAATCCAATATTTAATCCCAATATAATGGGAGGAATAATTAGAGTTCGATTTAGAGAATGGGCCAAGAAAACCGCATTTTCTAACTCTTCCCTTTGTTGAAAAAGATTCCCATGAGAAAGAAATGTCATGAACTTTTCATACTTTGAATTGGAAGGGAAATAATCTTTATCATCATCATCTATCAAAGAAATATTTGATTTGTTCACCTCATCATCATCATTTTCATCATAATTTGAATTATGTTGTGAG